GTATTACATTGGGTTGATTCGATAGCTTATCTCGATAGGTTTTCAATAGATTCGATAAATTCGTTCTGTATATTTCGAAAAGATTGATAAATTCACTTGGATTTATAAATTCGTTAGATTACTCTGCAGTGACTTGATTCGTAAGTTCGGTGGAACTACAAGTAAACACATACAACAGTTTTTACACACAGATCTACCTGCACTGTTAAACAATAGAGGAACACACAAGTGCATTAAATACCTATTTGGCCTTCTCTGCTTCCATGGAGCTTCTCTGATTGGAATTTTGTCTGTTTCCTCCTCTGTCCCTGGTGAGCATATTGTGTCTCTAGAAAATCCTAGCAGGGAGTTTTACACAGGCAGAAATGTGAAACTGGCTGGGATTGGTTAAGGCTCTGTACAGTGTGAGGCTGTCTGGGATTGGCTCACCTTTAACTAACTCTTAAAGGCATATTTTCCTTTTCTGCTTCTGCTAACACAATGAATATATAAATGTCATAACAATCAAAGACATAAATCACAGCAATGATTCTGCTTTTGGCTTTAACATATGCACATATATACTGTACTGAGGTTATTGGCAGGTTTGGTATACACTTATATGTGAACCATATTAGCAACCTAGGACTGGTCTTAGCTGGCCAGCTACACTCAGCACATGCAGGCTTCCCCTAAACTTGGAGACCCTAAATTTGGGATCCGTGGGGAACCAGACCACAGAACTGAAAGTCCAAAATCTTTTAATAATGGTATTTGTTCACAACCAGACAAGAGAAAACATCCGACATGTTTTCTGGTCTATAATGATCTCCCTTCTTTGATGTTATGAAAAAGAAATCTTGCAATATTTACACACAAATGCTTGTGGAAATACAGATTCTTACTCTGAGCCCGGGTTCACATATATGTGGTGCGGTATATTGCATGTGATTCACACAGGAACTGCGCTGCATTCCTCTACAAATCACATGCAATTTGTGTGCAGTGCGGTTGGAGCCATACATTTTGTATGGCTCTAATCCCACCAAAAAGACACAGGACCCTTTTTTGGTCCGCACTAGAATCGGATTGCATGGGTATTCACACCTATTTGATCCGGTTCTGCACATCGCACTGCGTTTTGCGGACCGCTTTTGGGGTGTTGTTAACTTAACATAGACAACCGCATCGGTTCGCATGAACAGGGTGTGATTCTGATGCGGTGCGGAATTCGTACAGAAAAAACGTTGCAAATTCCACACCGCATCAGTGTGAACCGGGTTCAACCTCATTTGTTAAAATTCAAATACGATAAAGTTGCAACTTCAGCCAATAAAACCGCTTTCTTTTTCAGGCTTCTCCCACCTTCCTCTTCAACAACTGAATGAAAATTCCAAACTTTTTAAAAAAACTTTTCTGACCTTTTGGTGTTGCAGTGCAGCACCTCCTTGTTTCTCGCCTAGGACAGAATGGCAATGTCCCTCTGCTGCCTCCTGAGATTTCCATGTCAGTCATCCCAGGAGGTAGTTTTGCTGTCAGACGCATGTACACCACCTGATTTTGCACCTTCGCAGATGTGCCAGAGGTTTTGGGGACCCAGCAGAAACTTGTTGCACATCTGTGCACACTGAAGGTACTAAGACCACAGATACCAGCATTGTTTGTGCCTGTGCAGGAACTTCTCTATGTGCGTAGCTGTGCCACAGGCCCATATTATTATATTATAGAAGACGCGTTACAAAGCTTATGGTACCTGGCAGCAACTGACCAGTGAGGTGGCTGATAGTATGGCAGCAAAAGTACCTGCTCCCTACTCTGTCCCTCCTCCACCAGAACCTCTCCCTAGGCTAGTCATACTGTCCTTCTCCAGCGGGTTCCTGTCCCTCACCTAGCCACATTGCAATGCATGCCAACTGCAATGGGACAGTGCTATTTATTAGCACTGCCCTCACTAAAGATGGCCGCAGATGTCATCTAGTTCAGCAGCGCCTAGTTGGACTGCTGCACCCCTGATGATGCCTATGGAAGCCTCAGAGATCCTTCTTCCTCTCTGCATGGCGGTTGGAATAACAGCGCCACCGGTACAGGGAGCATCAACTTCACCTGCCTGCAAGGGGCACATCTGCACATGCGCTGTTTCCGTGGCATACATGGAGGCAGGTATAATCTATTTTCTCCACTGCAGGTGGCATTTAAAGCACAGTGGCATTGCAGAGGGAGTGGAGCTCAGGAAGAACCTATTTATCTATTGTTTCCTGGGTCACTGGGGAAGCGATCCAGTTGGCTGTTGCTGTCCCATGTGACTCTGGTGGCCATTTTGGGCCAGGCAGAGTCCATTCTTGCAGCCATTGAGAAATACTATGAAGCTGTGATTGGTCACAGCTTGTCACATGGTACAAGGCTGTTGTGAATAGCCTTGTACCATGTGACCTTTGTGGTCATTCACAGATTTCACAAGTAGTAAGCAATAATGTCAGGAAGTGACATCTTGCTTACTACTATTCATGTGATCCCTGATTGGCCAATCAGGGATCACATGAATTGGGACCTCACACAGAGGTCCCGTACAGTGATCGTGACACCGGAGTGCAGTGTCGTGCGCTTCCAGGGAGTGCGCACAGGAATTGAATACGAGGGCCATTTATAAACAGCCACCCACTTCGGCACTGCTCCCTTCTGGCCACTTATGTACATGGGCCGGATGGGAAGTGGTTAAAGGATAGGTTTGTAACATGTTACATTCATATTCAGGGTGTAATATGTTACGAACGGACTGTCCCCCCATTATTCCCCATAGTGACAGCTAACAGGGGATCTTCTCCTCCCGCTAGCTGTACCAATTTAAAAATAACATGGCTGTGCGGGGCTCCGACTTCGTCACTCTTTCACATTGTTCTGTGAATGAGAAAACTACAAACCCCAGCAGACTTTGTGGCTGTCGGCTTGTAGTTCTAATGGTATTTGCGTTGTGAGCGCCGTAGTAGTTCATTGAGTCTTCCTGTCAGTAAGTATCGGTTTCCCCGTACGAAGAAGCAGACACAGTGACAGGTCCACAGGAGACCTGCATGGCATCAACGATCTGCTGATCACTGGCTCCCAAAACAAAAACTAATAAATGCACATTTTTTTACCTGCAAAAAAATGTGCATTTATTATTTTTTTGCTGAAAGGTGAACTTATCCTTTAAACTACTGTATGCGTCAAGCTAAAAAACGTTTAACCACTTGAAGACAAGGCCTTTCCTTACAATTTTTGTTTACATGCAAAGACCATTATTTTTTGCTACAAAATTACTTAGAACCCCAAACATTATATATATTTTTTTTTAAAGCAGAGGCAGTATTTTTTTTTTGTCACACAGCAGTTTTTTAAACTCTTTTGTGGCAAAAAATACACTTTAATAAATTTTAATGCACAAAAACACAATATAATACCCAATTGTTTGGTAAAATATAAAAGATAATGTTACACAGAGTAAATAGATACCAAACATGTCAGGCTTTAAAATTACGCATGCCCATGGAACAGCAACAAACTACGTACATTATATTATCCACAGGCAACACTTGAAAAGCTTTTACAGGTTGCCACTTTAGATTTAGACAGGAGGTTCGGTGCTAGAATGATTGCTCTTGATCTGAAGTTCATGGTGATACCTCACATGTGTTGTGTGATCGCTGTTTACATATGCGTGCAGTACTGACACATGTGTTCTCCTTTTTGTGCGAGCACAGGGAACAGGGGTGCTTTAAAAAAAATTCTATTTTGTTATTTATATTTTTTATTTTTGCACTGTAGCTTTTTTTTTATCAACTTTATTGCTATCACATGGGATGAGATACATTCCTTGTGATAGTATGGCCAGTGACAGGTGCTCTTTACTGAGAGATCTGGGATCTATTAGACCTTAGATCTCAACTCTGTCCTTAAAAGCATTGGATCATACCAAGAACAGTTTGATGCAATGTTTTTCCCAAACTAGTAATGGTTTGTTTTAGTGATGCACTGATATATAACTGCTGAAAATGATCAGTTTTGCCGATAAAAAAAAGGTGATGATGTTTGACTTCAATGCAAAATCAGATTCCATTGACTCCATTGGAAGATTGTGTCCCACTGACGTCAATGCAAAAATGCCCTCTTTTGACTTCAATGCAAAATCAAGTCCCATTTACTTCAATGCAAAATCGCATCCCATTGACTTCAATGCAAAAACGCCTCTATTTAAGTTATTTTTAATTTTAGATAGATTTAATTTTATTTCCTGTCCAATTTTTATGTGTTACTTTCACCAAAAGTTATTTTACGTTACTGGATTGTAATTTTTTAATTCACATTTAATTAAATTCATGATATTAAATAAAAAGTCAAATACAATGCAATTATATGTAAAAAACAAATATATACTTTTTAAAAACTGTCCATTTAGGTTTGGGTTTTCGGCCAAGTGCTTCCTGAATTTTCAGTTTCTGTCCAGAATTTTCATTTCAGTGCACCACTAGTTTGTTTACAACTAGAGATGAACGAATCGAACATGACGAAGTGGAATTCGTTCCGAAGATTTGGAAAAATTCTATTCGCGACGAATCCGAAGATTAGCAAACTTCGGATGCACGAATCGAATTTTCCCAAAAATGGCGGCGACATGTGTGGCGACGGAGAAAATGGACAGAGAAGATGGGGCGGGGATCTCTGGGAAGGCGCGCAGACAAGGCGCGCTGACCCATAATGCATTCATGACATGTGATCGCATTAGCCAATCAGCAGCATGATCTTCTTCGCACCCACGGCATCACCTCATAGAATCTCTGCATTGCATCTGCAATCACAACGCTGACTTCCCGGATCGCCACTCAGCCATTGGACTCTTGATAGTCGTCTCCCCACACTGCTGCTGGGGGGACTTTTTAACCTAGGCCTGTGTATGGCCTTCAATTGAAGCTGCTTACGCTCCGCCACTCTGCCATTGGACTCTTGATAGTCGTCTCCCCACACTGCTGCTGGGGGACTTTTTAACATAGGCCTGTGTATGGCCTTCAATTGAAGCTGCTTCTGCTCTGCCACTCTGCCATTGGACTCTTGATAGTCGTCTCCCCACACTGCTGCTGGGGGACTTTTTAACATAGGCCTCTGTATGGCCTTCAATTTAAGCTGCTTACGCTTCGCCACTCTGCCATGGGCCCCTGTACCGCCTCCTCTTGCTGCTGCCAGGTCCAGAGTGTGTCATGGGTCCCTGTACGGCCTCCCATTGCTGCTGACTTCATCGCCAGACTCTGCCATGTGCCACTTTCAGGTCTCCTTACACTGTTGGTAGGTTCCATTTTGTGATAGGGTGCTGTATGGCCTTCCATTGCTGCTGCCTCCACCGCCACCCTGCGCCATGTGCCTCTGTCGTCTGCTCACGCTGCTGACAGGGCTTCCGCAATTTTTTAACCGAGGCCTGTGTTTGGCTTCCGAATACTGCTGCCTTCACCGCCACCCTGCGCCATGTGCCTCTGTCGTCTGCTCACGCTGCTGACGGCTTCCGCTTTTTAACCGAGGCCTGTGTTTGGCTTCCGAATACTGCTGCCTCCACCAACCCACCCTGCGCCATGTGCCTCTGTCGTCTGCTCACGCTGCTGACGGCTTCCGCTTTTTAACCTAGGCCTGTGTATGGCTTCCGAATAACTGCTGCATCCACCGCCACCCTGCGCCATGTGCCTCTGTCGTCTGCTCACGCTGCTGCCAGGTCCATACTGATTCATGGCCCCCTGTACCGGCTCCTCATGAACGTGGTTCAGCGGGTTTGCATCACTTAACGGCAAATCGTTGACAAACGCTGGGACGTTCAGTGTTGTGCGCATTAAGCCAGACACCAAAGGGCAGCACAGACCTGTTATTACTCGCTCAAGCATGGCTGAACAAAACCAGTCTCTACCACAAATTGGACCCAGACCTGCCCAGGGTCTCGTAAGTAGATTGCACGGAGGAGTAGAGTTCGTTATTGGAATTAACTGTGAGGGACTTTTAAACCTAGGCCTGTGTATGGCCTTCAATTGAAGCTGCTTCTGCTCCGCCACTCTGCCATTGGACTCTTGATAGTCGTCTCCCCACGCTGCTGCTGGGGGGACTTTTTAACATAGGCCTCTGTATGGCCTTCAATTTTAGCTGCTTACGCTCCGCCACTCTGCCATGGGCCCCTGTAACCGCCTCCTCATGCTGCTGCCAGGCCCGTAATCTGCCATGGGCCCCCGTACCGACTCCTCATGCTGATGCCAGGCCCGTAATCTGTCATGGGCCCCTGTACCGCCTCCTCATGCTGCTGCCAGGTCCAGAGTGTGTCATGGGTCCCTGTACGGCCTCCCATTGCTGCTGTCTCCATCGCCACACTCTGCCATGTGCCACTTTCAGGTCTCCTCACACTGCTGGTGGGTTTCCATTTTGTCATAGGGTGCTGTATGGCCTCCCATTGCTGCTGCCTCCACCGCCACACTGTGGCTCCACACTCTGGTATGGCCCCGTGACTGCCCAAATGAGTGAAGTGTGCGGTGATTCTAAGATCGACGGCACTCATCTGCATGTCATACTGACTGACAGTATTATTTCTCTTCCCAGCAGACTCCAAGGGCATTTAAATTAAAGGTACAGTGTTCTGCACTAATATAAAGGCTCTCTGAAGCCTAGAAAACACCCTTTTTATAAGTTAAATTCGCAGCGAATATATTCGGCTCGAAGCGAATTTATTCGGCGAATTTGGCGAATCAGCCGAAACCGAATTTTTGAATAATTCGCTCATCTCTATTTACAACCAACAAAACCGGGGAACTGACTAAATACTCATTGTTTCTGCTTTCTTAGACCATAGAGATGATTGAAAATGTTCCAGTCCTCGATCATCTGTATGGTAAGCTGGCGGAGCCGTCAACTGCAGTCCCAGGCTCCCTAGTGAGACAGGAGAGCCCGGGAAGGTGGAGGAAGGCTGCTGGGGGGGGGTGCAGCCCTCCAGCCACTTGTCAAAGCAATCCAGCAGCTATTTAGCGGCTCAGATTGCTTTTACAAGAAACGGCACTATCGACTGAAAAAATGATGCCAGGGTGATGCCTGCAGCTGTGGCCATCATCCCTGTAGCCCAGAGACATACCCGTCAAGTAGTTACATTTATTATTCCTCAAAGCATGGGAAACACAGCACATACAGTAGGTGTGGACCAGGCAAGCTTTCTCTGTGTTGTTAAAACTCACTTGTCTGTCCCGGTTTTATAGATAGTTTTATCTGTTTGGATGAACGTTTTAAACGTTTTTCATGCGCAAAGTCAGAGGTTTGCTGACAAACTGAACCTTGTCCCCTCCAGCCTCCATTCCCTGGACCTCAAATATGAACCTTCTCCGTGTCCTTAGAGGGCTCAGGAACCTGGAAAATGACAGAAATATTATTTTTAGACTATTATTTATTATATTTATTACTGTTATGTGTATTTAAAAATATACGGCAACAAAAGTTTGTTTTCTTAACAGCATTTTAGCCTTTTATTAACACTAGTGAAATTTTCAGGCTTGGTTCACACCTGTGGGGGTGGAAAGCCGCTGCGGGACTCACACTTCATCCCGTGGCTGCAAACACCCGCACACAAAACGCGGGACTATAGCGGGCGCTGGTGCCATTAATCCTACTGCCACGCGTCGCCTGTACTGGAAAATCATGCCAAGCACTGGGAACTGCACAGTAGTTCCCTAGCGCATTGTGATTTCTTGACAGTTGGTGGAGGGACCTTTTCCCTGCGTTTTGTGAAGCAAAGCAGCCTATTCAAATGACACGCAACAATTAAAGGTATGTGAACAGGCCAAAGCGCCTAATAAAAAAAAGACATAAAAATGTAATGTGCTGCAGCTTACCAAGCCAATATATGTGCTGGCTGCATCGAGTGCGACCACCCACATTCTGCGTGGGGACAGTCCTCTTCTCAGCATGTGCTAAAATAAGTTGCTTGACCTATAACGGGTATCCAACACCTTTTGCTGTGCTCTTCCATATATGTAATATCAGCAGAGGCGTTCCTAGGGTTGGTGTCAACCCGGTGCGGGGTAACACTTGGCTTAACACCCCCTCCGACAATCCCCACAGAATAGGATCGGATCTGCGGATTTGATGAGCATAATGGATCAGACTTACAAACTACGATCATTATGCGACTCATATCCGCAGATCCGATCCATCCTACAGGGATTGTCGACTTTCTTTACAACTTTAAACCTTTTGTTGGAGCGCGGGTCCGGTGGTCACCCGTATAGGTTGCATGCCGACAATCCCGCAGGATGGATCGGATCTGCGGATTGGGGAGCATAATTGGATCGGGATCTCGATTCCATTATGCTCAATCCATTCATGGATCATTGGGGGCATGCAACCTATACGGGGGGAGTGACACTAAACAGACAGGGGCGGACTGAACAACTCATGTGGCCCCCGGGCAATAGGGGATCATGGGGCCCCCTGTTGTCCTTGCCCAAACTAGAAAAAAGCCTATGAAAAAAGGTACCAGGGGCATCTCATTGGGGCCCCCTACTGACCCTGGGCCCAAGTGGGCAGTGCCCAATAAGTTTCCAAATGGTCAGTCCACCCCTGCACTCCAAGACCCTGGCTCGAAAGAAAAGGTAAGTTGTAAAGAAAGCCGACGATCGGATCCATTAATGCGGGGGATCGTCCAGCTTGCTTTACAACGTACACTTTTTTCGTGGAGCGGGTCCTGGTGTCACCCGTGCAGTCGGTGTGGGGGTTTCACCTGGTGCGGGCTGCACCCGTCACACACCTGCCTCGGGGACGCCACTGCATAATATTGAACAGTACCATTACTAAGAGGATCTCTCTCATAGCTTTACTATCTCTTATTTCTTTCATCTCTACTCATTTGGGAGACACCACTGACTCATACCTGGAAGGACTGGCAGTGCCAGGCCTGCATGTTTGGCTGCACTGTGTGCAGAGTTTTGGTTCCAGCCGAGGTTTCTAGATTCACTGACAGGTGGGAGTAGCCTCTGAGGTCACCAGAAGTGTGGATACAAAACTTCTCCTCGGATGGATAGTAGAGGTCAGGTGAAACAAAAAGGCCAAAGATTCTAAAAGCGGAAAAAAAGAAAAGAAAAAAACATTCTAGAACCACAAAACGCACCCAGTTTCTATTATTACATTGCAGATTTTTTAAAGTGATTATAAAGCCTAAACATTGTTTATCTTAACCCCTTCACGCCTAAGGGTAAAACAAATCTAAATGCCTAAGCACAATTTTGCAACGTTGACATGTGTTAGTAAATACATATCATCACAACTACTTTATACATCCAGGTGAATTATACCTCGTTTTTTTCAGGACAAATTGGGCTTTCATTTGGTGGTAAATGCTAATGGATTTCTCCTACCATAACCTACCATCAACAAACAACCCAAAATAAATTCTCCAGTTCTTGGCGATCGCAGCGATACCATATATGTGTATGTTATTTGTTGTTTGTACCCGTAGTACAGCCCAGAAACAATAGTGCGCATTTTGTTTTTGTCTTTTTTTTTTTTTTTTTTTTTAACCTAAAACACACTGACATTAACATTGACACTAACTGACACTGATACCAATTTTTTATTAAATCCTGACCTTTGATCCTGACCTTTTGACCTTGACCTTTGACCCTGACCTTGACCCAAACACTAACCCTGGCACTGAACTAGATCAAACCTTGATCGAGGTATTTTTTTCTTTATTTTTTATTGATTGATTAATATTTATTTTTCTATTTATCTTTTTTTTCACAAACATTTTTTTTCTCTCTATGCCAGGAGTTAGAGAGACACAATGTATCTCTCTTCTCCATTCATAGAGAGAGAAAAAAACAAGGGGGCCGGACTGCACAGTGACTGATCACTGTGATAGCCAATCAGACAGCAATCACGTGACCCGGAATTGGGAATCCCAAGTCCCGATCGTTAGAACGGGACCTGGGGCTCTCAGTGACACCGCAGTCTCCCAGCACAAAGACAGGTACACAAATATGCATCCCCTTGGAAAAAAACCTAGTTCCGTGAGGCCGCATATTTGTGTGACAGCGGCGTTGAGGGGTTAAAGCATTATTTGTATTAAGGTAAATAATGTTTTAGGTAGTAGTACCCCCCCCCCTTTTTATTTACCTGAGCCCTCATTCAATCCAGCGCTGTGTCCATCTGCAGCTTCTCCCTTCCCTCACTTCC